TTAGGTGTTGCACTCGCCTTGTTAGCAGACTGCTCACAAGATGGCCGATCTCCTGACCAGCTAGGAGCGATGACTGCGCCTAGTGACATTCTTGAATTTCCAGAGGATGTCTGTCTCGAAACTTTGAACAAAGAGTGGCGCCACCTGTGAATTACTAGTGAACTGAAAATTGTGCTAAGGCTCATTGATAGAGAATAAGCTAGTCAGAAATCTAAAGATGAATCGTTATGGCGATAATAAAACAGCGTGCGCGATGTAACGTAACAGCAGTACTGGTAACTCAATGATGTAGAGTGGCGTTCAAAACAGGCGTCGGTGGTGCAAATGTGGATTGGAATCCCAATGGAAGCAAAGGTTTTGCACACCACTCTACTCTTTGTATATATTGCAATAATATACTGTCGTTAGAGGCGGTCAAATAAAATGAATTCTGATTGATCAACAGTACTAGTGATTTGTGAAAATCTTTAGCGCTTTCATCTCCATTACGATTTCTAATAGTGGTATAAAATAGATATCGGAATTGTCTTTTCATGATTTTTTCATCTTTCTATAATCTTCCATCGTTATTCGCCCTTTATTTTATAGAGCTCTAAGACCTTCCAAGCAGATAGGATTTCCGATTACAAGTTATTTAATCAGTCTATAGAGAAAAAGAAAAACAGAAAAAGAATGTTCATCTCTCAATTTCCATCCAAACAGAATTGCAAATCGCACAGTACTTTGGGAAAGGTGATGAATGATAGTAAAATCGAATTTCATTTGACTGATGCAGTTTTTTTTGTGTGGTGATATTGTTTTCACTGAAAGCCGAAAATGTTGTGCTCAAGCAATTCTGCGCAAGTTCCTACCAAAGCACTGAGTCTTTTGTGGAACGGAGAAAGATTTTCGAGCTTCGTCCTCAAAATTCTGAGATGTAGTGATTTTTCCTATAACTTTTCTATTACTACGCCTCTAAATTGAATTCTGAACTTTGAAGCTTGATTAGCCTTGGTAGCAGATTAGTTTATTGTTAGTTACACATCGCGTTTCACAGCTGAGATTACCTACTTGCAAACGTGAGGTGACCAACACAAACGGAGGAGAACGTACAGTGCAGTGAGAAGGCAAAGAAGATGGGCAAAACATTATTTGAAGTGAAAATTACTTGTACACAGTGTTTTCAGACACCATTGAGAACTACTTCTCATCCGTATCAAACACCATTTATACTATCAAAGGTTCGAATGTAACAAGATGGTTGCGCCTTCCATGGACTCGTCTCGAAGTGCTTCGTATGGCTCTTATGGACCCGAGACTACAATCGATACGGGAACGTCCATTTGCCGTAGGCTAACTTCCTCAGTTTGAAAACTCACTAATAATTGAATAACCAGATCGTATACTTTCTTTCGTCGCTGTTGCTTGTCAAAACTTCCCATCCACCTTATTAATATGGGAAGCGCGAGAAGACTTAGAGTGTTATACTACTTCTTATCGGTGTCTTTGGACAAGATGACCATTTACTCGTGAAAGTTTGCGGCATTTGGCGCTATAGAGTGTGACCGATCTCCTAAAACTGTTCTGTGAGGTACTACAAATCATAGATACACTCGTAACCTAAATTAGACGATTCTTTGTGAACTTTTATTAGTGCTTATTTCGTGATTCGGTCTCTTAAGATGTTCGACAAAACAAAGCAGCTCTGCATTTCGTTTGCCGAACAGAATGGTTTTACTCTGCATCGACGAAAAATTACTGTTATAAATATAGAGAATACGGCCGTCTACAGTAAGGATACTGGTATGGCTTATACTTTATTGTCTTCACTATTTCCCACGTCTTTAGAAAGCTAGATAGCATTTCTTGATAGTGCAAATTATGGGTTCAACGTTAGCTACTTTAGATTTTTTCATTAAAATTGAATCTCCGGGAAATCTTTAAAGTGATATCCACAGCGATCACTCGATAGCAGTATCCTTGAGAACAGTATACACCAACTGCTTTATTACGCGTTTTATCGTCATCAAGTACTCTTTATCATTACAATTTATGTCATGAATTTCTTTTAGGTGTGTTGCTGACTCCAAAACTGATTTTTTCGTCGGTTTTGACGCATGAGATGATCCATGGAATGAATGTTGGTCACTCATATAGTGATCGCAAAGATCAAAGTGGGTAACAGCTATGAGAATATTGAGATTTTGTAACCTGAACTGTGGTGGAATCGAACTCACGTTCAGCCTTTTTCGGGAACTTACGTGCTGCCCAGTGCACCATAGAGTCTCTCGTTCTGTCATTCCTCCTGATCATATCAACCTTGAGTCGCACGTTGGAATTTCAAAGCGGCAGGCGACGCGATCGGCGCGTTATAATGACAAAGTAGTAGCTTTCTAATTAATTTTAGATATTTATCACTTAGTCTTTTATCACTACAATTGGAGTTTAATTGTAAGAGACTGTTATGAGTCTTTTCGAGGTTTGGTATGTCAGTATCGTACGCACATTCCCGTTGTCACGCCTGCCTCAGCAGAGCTATAAGCCTCACCAGTCACAACCTGGTAGGAAAGGCGAACAGTATGTTTAGACCAGACAACATGAAACGTTATTTGGCTTTTCAACAGTCAGTAATGCTCGGCTGTCAATATTATTTGATATTGCTCTTCAATCGACTATTTTTACGTCTCCCCTTCCCTCTTATGTAGGCTTGACTGGTGGACCGTTTGGATCTGATTAGGCAAAAGAGACCGCCGAAACATACGTAAGCCACTGACATGCCAAACTTCGGAGAGACTCAAAACAGTCTGTCAGAGTATATCAAAATTCTAAAACGGGGTTATTGGAAACAGGTGATTGAAAAGGAAGTTTAAATGTCATCAAATGGTTTAGTATAATAAAAGAGAACTTACTGAGGACAAATTTGGTTGAAACACGTCGAAAAAATTACAAAAAGTTAACTGATCCTCAGAAATGGTACTTCACATTGCAGTACGATGCCACTTTATCGATAATTTGGAGCAACTCATTATCAATGTTGTAATCTGGGAGCTGAGACTTCTATAGAGTCGTAGAAAAGGTTTTGTTCTATCGTCTTATGAGTAGCAGTTTTTTATCCACTTATATTCTGATAAACACTTCACTCATCGCTACATTTTTTCCAAAAAGTAGTTAAATAGATGAATACGAAACTCTGTCAAGGCTTGTGCCGACCGTGTACTAAAAAGACTTTCTCTGTATGTTCATTAAGAATTGATTATTATAGAAAATAAGTTTCAAGATACATCTACACAGCATCGTTGGAAGAAATCTGGAAAGACTTTCAAAACGTTGTTTCATACTTCCAGTTCATTAAAAAGTAAGGATTTCTAGAACAATTGAGCGTTCTTCTCATTAGAAATACGTTTATATGAGTCTCTTTGACATGAGAAATTTTTTTTTTAGCGGCAAAGCCTGTAGAGGCCGTTTCACAATCCATTATGAGCATCGAAATCGATCTCCTCAAGCCCTTAGTGTATGAAAATAGACAAAAAAAGAAAATATGTTATACAACCTTTGGAAATATGTTACTCCACGGAACGATCTTGTTTTTTTGTTGAAACTGATTTTTCGGCGTATGGGCGTTCTTTGTACTAGAAAACCTCTATAAATGTCTCTTTTGTGGTATTCAGTCACTTAACGACGATAATATTCTCTCAGAATCTCAACTTATCGAATAATCCTAAATTTCCATCGCAGCGTGCACAACAAACACAAAATCCCCGCCGTGCGTGGTGCGCGATGTGGCGAGAGGTGGCATATGTGTGCCACTTGGGACTCAAGGGGTTGAAACTGTATTGGTTGCTATCAACAATCAGACGTCAACGAGGATGATATAGGAGCAAAAGTGGCACTGAATGCTGTTACTGTAAAGTTGGAACTTGAATAGCAGCCAGCAAGCTTCAAACAGTAAGAGAGAAAGACAGAGCAAAGTAATCGCTAGTCCGCTTTTACTTCATGCCATATTCCAGAATCTATTCGCAACTCAGCATTCTTGTGGTTGAATTTTACATTGTACCCTGCCACTGAAAAAGAATAGACAGTAAATGAAAGTACAAGTAGTAAATTTTGAGTGAGGATCCGTTCAGAATTTTCCTACGTTTTAATGTTTTTTGGACTATGATTGAACAAAGCAATTATAGCGAAAGGTATCCGATCAGGTGACCATTTAGTGACTTCTAAATTTTTGCGTACCACTCACTTCGCTGAGGAATATTTGAAGCATCATGAGACTGCTAAAAAGCAGGAAAAACGTAAGGTCTTGGACATATGTAATGAAATTTATTTCAGGTGTTCCCCTATGCCGCACAAGGAGAATACGACGACAAATACGATTTGATGTCTACGGCTAATGCTCACATGCGCTTATCCACTTATGGACTTAGTGGTCCCGGTTTGAACGGGCCACATCTTGATTATCTAGGATGGCTTCCACAGAATAGGATTGTGTATTTTGGACGGTGAGCAAGCACTTTGTCACACATTTGAAAGAATAAATAAAATGCAGGTGGAGACAATACCGTGGTTATTAATACTTTTACAAATACCTTCCATGCCAAGCTTAGTTTATGGCTTCAATCCCTATTCTCAAAACGAGCTTTCTGTTCCTTTTTATGAATAAGTTGGAATCAAACATGTCTGGGTCAATTAAGGAAACCGACTTCTCAGATCGGCAGGCCATAGCAAGTTCTTAAGGAGGCCAAACGGCATTAATTTAACTTCTATGCTACTGCGATACACTGAGATGCATAGTGCATCTTAGAAGTCTTTTATCATCGCTATCATAGTTGATCATCGCTTTGTCTCACTATGCTCTAACCTAAAGCATGAAAAGTTTGAGCATATTTGACAATTATAATAGAGTAATACCAAGCAATTGGAGAAATTTCAATTTGTCAATAAATTTCATGGATCTATAGCCTGCAATCGATAAAATAGGACAAAAAAAAACAAAAGGCAAAATAGATAGGTGGTGGCGCGAATCTACCTCGGTGGCGTAGTGGAAGCACGCGTACCCGGTATGGATGAAACGCGGGTTCGACTCCCTTCTGAGGTTGTATTTTTGCTCACCACTCAATTCTCTTTAGGATATACGGAACAAAAAAGCATTAAAAATTTTAGTGATGGTCGAACTAATTACACTCTCCGACTTTCTTCTCTTTCCGTCCCTCATCGCCTCACCAATGGGTGGTTGCTCGTGATGTTACCGTACGATCGTGATGACCCCGGAAATGTGTACACTGTTGAGTATCGCACTCCTGTCGGAAACGATGCGGCTATAAAACAGGTACGCATTCGAATAGATAGTACTATGGTCATAGCAGGTCATGATAGTTTGTATTATACCAATTCTTCCTTTCCTTTTACAGAGATTTCGATCTGCGCTCTCAGAATATAAAAATTATTAAAACACTCAAGAACAGCGTGACTATAAGACTGTGACTATGAGAGTTATCCTGTTTCCACCGTTTTCAGCTTAGCAGAATTAGCACTTGAAGAGGCTTAGAAGTTTACCGCTCAATTGATGAAGTAACTATCGGAGTTCGCATTTGGTAGATGAAGTTTGAGAGTCGTCTTAATACCTAGGGGACGACATGTTTCAGCTGAGGTACATGAATGTTTGAAGGTCTTTCTCGCTGGATAAAAACTTTATCTTAGACATCTGGTAATTATTTGAAAATTCAAATCTCTGCGATTTCTATGATATTTTTGATTTTAGACGAGACTTTTTGTTACGTTGCAGCAGAAAAAATAAAATATGTTACACGCTGAATTTGCGTCATTTGCTCGGCTGGGACTTCAATATGGCTTTAACTAAAGTTTTACCAGCTGTTAGACAGATTTCGAAGATTTTGATTATGTAGTTGGTTGAGAAATTCGTCGATAGCTATTTGAACAATGCAGATGGGTTGCTCAAACACGAGTAGTGCTGTTTCTGAGGTAGATGCCATGAATTCGGACGCAATCGTCGTTTAAAAGACGAACTAGATAAGGAAATTGGTGACAACATTACTCTAAATAAACTAGCAATCGGACTTACATCTTCTAAAATACCTGTGAAAAATATGACTCATACATGACTGGCAATACGAACCAATGTCTTGTAGTTTAAGTAAGCTTGCAAAGGGATGCATGTAGTGTTGTCTCCAGAGGTACCTTGAAGCCATCACGTGATTTTGATAATCCTTGGCTCTGTGCATGCTAATTCGTTCATCCCTTCTGGGTCAACAAATTGGTACCATGTTTGTCTGAAGAACACTGGCATTGAACGGACACATGGATAGACTCGCACAAGTTAGTATGTTGGTTATTTATCCATTCGCTTTTGATGATACCTGTTGAAGTCGAGTGCATGGCGCATCCATTAGGGATTGAAAAGCGTTTCATGCTTTATCTTTATTCATGAATTTCCAAGAGAGTGCTGCAGTTCTGCTTACTGCTATCAATACTACTATAATTACTGATATTGTTAATATCTACCCGCTTATCCAGTTATTCAGTTTTTGTAGGAAGGAGGTTGTCAATTGAATTCTTGAGTGTTTAGGGCGCTGTTGTAGTCCATAAAGTGCATCGTATCGGTCAATCATACTATTCGACTCTGATAACGCATGAACACGGTGAATTCGATGAGTTAACGGCTGGCACCGAATGGCTACGATTTCTGAACACAAACATTGACGGGGGATTTCAATATATACGGGTTAAGGTAAGCAGTTTTTCTAGTTTTACATTCACCACATAATTATTGGCATTTATGCTGGTGCAGGCTTCTTCAGGAGCCACGTTCCTATGACATGGGATAGTGTTCCATTGACAGTGGTATTTATTTAGTCTTCTCAGGCAATATTTTTCTTGAAATCATTGAAATCATTATGAATCGAAGATGTACATTTGATTCATCTTGAAAAAACCGATAGTCTAACAAAAACAATGGTTTTTTACAGGTCGAACAGGTTCACGGAAAATCTCATAGCGTTGATCTCAAAATCGCAACAACATTTCGACCGGTACTATCATTTTTCCCTATTCAGTTTGATTTCAGAAATTTCTTCTAATTTCTGCAACAAAATTCGATATAATGTGAACGAGTTTAAACCGATTTTAAAAAGAATTATAGAGTCATTGTGCAACATGAGGGTCCGCCCAGCGTATGACATCCTCTGCAATACACGTAAAATTGTTTGCCTACGTTTGTCCAGTGCCTCATACACTTCCGAGGTCACGGAGCTAATGCCAGACTTGTATGGAATCCTACAAGCACCAATTTGCTGCAGCAGCAGATCATCAGATGCCATTATTTACGAAATAGGTCGGATGTGTGTTAGATCACTTCACGATGCTACGAATGAAATCAAATGTATGACGTTCCCCAAATATGCCTAACAATTATATTTGAGCCATGCAATGGTCTGTTATGGGCACTTATACAGTGCGAAACACGTGTTCTGCCTTGCAGCCTTGTCAGTTGCACGGTGCCTTTCGTCTTAGCCAATCCCTCTTGGAAACCCAACCCCCTCACACAGAGTAGACGCAGACGTACTATTTACACGCTCCATTAGGTGATAAAAATCACTAAATGGCCAGTGCTGCACACTTGATCGCTCTTGGCTGGTAATCGTGAAATATCATACCATTCGTTTCGAACATTTTTTCAAGACCAAGCTTAGATTTCATTATGCCTGAGATTTGACGAGGGCTTAAAGGCCGAAACACTTGTATTTTTGCACTGCATAAGTGAACATAGCAAGCCACATGCATGGTTCAAAAATAATTATCAGGCATATTGAGTTTTGAGTATGCTCTTAAGATTACACTCGAAACGAATGGGGTGTCATTTCTTGGTTGCCAAATGATTGATTGAAGGCAAGAGACAGAAGTTTATCCATCGGTGAACGTTTAGGAGGAGCTGCATTTACCACAATCTATCAGCAAGCACGTAATCTTGGAAAAGCGGTGGTGGTGTGTGTATTTTGTTGAGAATACTATTGTCGCCCACACTACTGCTAACACGTAGTCATGAGGATTGCTATATATGCACGAAGTAGCCATAGAAGCTAAACACTCAAATACAAACAAGCAATTTTATTGAGCGAAATTGTTCAGGATATATGTCATGACAAGGAAGTGAGGATTACTTTACAAGCTTCATTATCCTTGATTTCTCACGGTGTACGATCCGTCTGCATCGAGCGCAATCGGACCACAACACAAGGCGATGTGGATCGACAATTTCTGCGACAAGCATTCTTTAACATGAGGTCAATTCCCTTTTTAACGAAATACTAGCAGAAAAATTTGCTCAGTTCTGAGCAGAAAATCGTCCATTATTCCAATGTAGTACCTAGCAAATTACAATTGCTTTTGCAGTCAAGTAAATTGTCCTTATTGACCATCAGTGCGCGCTTTTGAGTAGATCGAATGATACTTTCTTTCTGCCTTATTGCTCTTTAACAACCATAAAAAACTTCTATATATCAAAAATGGGTACTGTTCTATTATGGCGACACCACTTGAGGCCTTCGGTAAAAACGCATTCCTTGCTTTTGCAAAGAGTTTATCGATAGCTCAAATCAAGCGAATTTTAATGGCATGTACAATTTCTCAAATAGCTTATTTATGCGCCGTACCAGTCAAAGTAAAATTTTGTTTCTCATTCGAAAATTTCTTACTGTATAGAAGTTTTGTTGTTATGAACTTCTAATCATTAGGTAGAGAAAATCTTATTGATTATAACGGCATATTTAGCTTTCGGGAAGGACTTCTTCGAGATTTGTAGCGACAGAAGAGTAGTGAATTTCACACTCAGTGAGCACCTTTAGTCGGCTAGGGTGTGCGTATAACTGCAAATCTTCAAATGTGAAACAAAATCTCATTTGACTGGTACGGCGTTAAAAACAAGCAATATGAGAAATGAAATATACTTTTGAAATTCACTTGATTTAAGCTATCGGACAGTCATACATTCGCCAGATAACAGCAAAGGATACGCTTTCATAGAAGGTTTCAAGTGGCGCCGACATAATACAACAGTACCCAAAAATGTTTATACCTCTCCATCGTAAATATGTTTCGATTTCAGTGATTACTATGCAGATAAAGTCTTCGTGCATTTCAGAAAAAACATTTGGTCAGAACGAGTGTAAAAGTAGTCATACATGGCGTGGTATTGATGCGTATGACTATGTTTGTGTAGAACCTCATCGGTGAGTGTCTTTTTTGTATCTTTATTCATTTATGCAGTGATGTAAACATTTTCCTCACTTAGAACCAATGATTTTTTTAGCGCAGATGAGGTTAAGGAGAGTATTCTATCAACTGATGAAAACGGAGATGGTTGTGATGTCGGTTATGTTCACAGGAATGCCTTTCAGGTTTGTGCACTAATTATGACTCGTTAGTCGATCAAATATCAGTTGCACCACATAGAATGGCAAAACATAAAGTGTTTCAATTTTACCTCTAACGGCCCTTCACCAACTGACCCATAGGCTACCAATAAGACTTTAGTTCTCACTGGAACACGCTAATGAGCTCTACTCATTCGATTCACATGAATAGTGTGAAACCTTCGAAAAGAGTCATTTATTCCCACCATTAACGACGATGGCGCACCTACAGCATACCTGTTGGGGTTTCCCAATGGATTGTAGCCATGTCCGACGTCTCTTATCAGACTTCCTCATGCTAAATGTAGGAGACATTAAATTGCATGAAACACAAGATGGCATTATCTTTGATGTTTGCACACTCTGAGAGATAGAAATCTTTGCTTACATTGATGAGATCTCTGACCAAAATTCTGTCCCAATCCAGTCATCAAAGAAAAAGTGAAACTCGCAAAAGGATAGATCGTTGTGGGATAAATCTGTAGTTTTTTCACCAGATAGTCTCCAGATGTCGCCAGAAGGGTCACACACACACAATGCAACCCACACTTAGCACACAGACATATATACACACATACACATACACACGTACACACACATGCACTTACATACACACATACACTCACACATTACACACACACACACACACACACACACACACCACACACAC